AGCATCGTGGTCCAGGGTCCCCAGTCATACTATACAGTTGATTATCTTGTATATTGTATTTGAAGTATTATCGCAGACGACAAAATAATTTAACTATTCCATTATATTTATTTCTCAGCTGCCACCGTTAAAATCAATCAAATTACCGTAGGTAAGCATTCAGTTGATGTCACAGGTAATATCTACATTTCAAATAAATAAACATACTGGATTTCTATTACGATACACAGGTTATAAACCCCTTTAGCTGTCTGACTAGCCAGTCTACTCCAAAGTTCCTATCACTATCCACAAGACGAAACGTTAGTACAAATAAAAGGAAAATGGTCACTTGGTTGCTAGAAGTGAACAGTAGGACCTCTTCTAAAATCTTAATTACCTATTCCTGTTATTCCATATATTCAGGTGACCTTATATACTGCTTTTCTATTATTGTTTCTATAACGAATGTGGAGTTACGCGTTGTGATCAACAATTAGAAATCTGACTGTATATCTTACACAGGAATCACTGATAATTTTATCCGATGCAAGCAGTTTCTTAAGTTTCAATCTTATTAAGTTGTTCACATTTAAGTTTTATGCACAACAGCTCTTAAAATAGTGTCTTCTACACAACATTTATTAAATTAATAAATAAATCCCTATGTGCAGTTAAAACCCTAATCCAGGTTCTTCAGCAATCATAAGTTACGAATCTATAACTTAAGTTCACAAACCTTTAATAAGCTGCTCATTATCATGTTAGGAAACCTCCCTAACATCTCAGTAATTTCGAGCAGTAAACACTTAAGTAAACTTTCCTCGTTTATTAACTTGATACTGATGAAGTAATGTTAAGTGTACCAGCTTAGAATGTCCAATATTCGAGTCAAATCCTGCATTATTTACAGTCTTTTTTGATTGAATCACCTTAAAAATAAGCTTTACTTTGTGCCTAAGTCAATAAATGTTTTGAAGAAAGTATCATCTATAGACAAGCTTGAGAGAAATTGAAAATGACCATATGATTATAAATTCACTTCCAGCCACTGAGCAGAGTTTACAGATATCACAAACATTTCGCAACAGAAATGATGAAACATTACAGTTAAGTGGTTTTCTAAGGTTTATTATCAACTTTTCGATTTAAGAATTCAGAAATATCGCAACATAACATCATCAATCTAAGTATCAATTTATTCATAATGACGATTTTTTACTAAATCATTCTTATACCTGCAAACTTCTTAGAAAACTTATCATCGCCTATGAAATCCATATTAATAAATCCGATGAAGAATTCCGAAGAGACAACTATAAGAGTACAATCTTTGTCTCTATATCAATATGAAGTCATGAGTAAAAATATTGATCTATTTCAACATTCCTGATTCACTAGGTCGCCCTTTATTCGATGAGGCACTAACAAAACAATTTCTTTCTGGGTTTACCACAAAGTTTATGTGTAAATCTGTGAGTTCTCTATACGTTTGACACTATTACTTTTACTCTGATTACAAAAGTTTTCACTAGCCACTCTAAACTTTCTGAGCACTATAAAAACTACTTAAACTGTTCATTTTACTTGAGGTAAGTCAAAAGTCATCCATTTTGAGATTTAGCGTAAAAAACCTGATAGTCATTTTCTTGACTCTCACTGGATCATTCCTATAACATAATTCTATCGATATTTTATAACGATCCAGTTAAAACAAGTTTTTATTTAGTTCTTGTTTTAAACAATTCACAATATCACTGACTTCTGCCATTGCCCCAATACCAGTCTCTCCACAAATTAACGTCTTCTGAACAGGATCTATGCATTTCCAATGAAGTCTACCAACTAGACGTTCAATTTGTTCATGAGTAAATGGATGCTGCCACATTAAAGTATTCATAGCAGGAGCAAAATATACTGGTTTATTGATAATGTTTTGTTCATTGGGAAACCACCATGCACGTACAAGTGTTGTAAGTAGATTATCAGCTAGTCCATACGCCACCTTTGCCATTGTATTAGCACTCAATGGAGCTACTAGTAGTATATCTGCCCAATTTCTAAGCTATAATAATAAAGTCATTAGAATCAAATAATCATAAATTCATACCTCAATATGTAACACAGGATCACCACGTTTTTTCCATCTTGTCCATTCGTCTATGTCTTTGTACACAGGGACACTTACAGTGTCTACCGAAAAAAAGTTAAGTGAATTGTCTGTAACAACTAGACGAACTTCAAATCCTATTTCTAGAAGTTTTTCTATTAAACATGGTATTTTGATTGCAGCAACACTGCCAGTAACACCAAGAATCAATTTGTTTCTTAGTAATTTGTTTTCATTCATCACTAGCAAGTAGAGAGAAGAATGATTTAACTAATTACATTACCCAAAATGATAAATCAGACATGAGCTACTACCTCGTACAGTTGCAAAGAGCGTCTCCGCACATCAATGACTATACCGATTATGTAATTCACAACATAGCACTTCAGAGAGACTAGCATATATTTGTCGGCTAATTTAGAGATCGGACTTAGTGAAGTTCATAGAATATGAAAGTGATTTGTTATTGTCTATTTAGAAAGAAATGGAAGTAATCCCCAGCTTACAAACAACCTCAAAAGAAGCTCAGAAAAATCCGGTGTTACTTAATACTATTCCGAACATAATTAACCTTCCAAGAGGTAGAATGGATCATGATGTTATTCCAATTGAATAATCCAGGTTCACTAAATGTTTAAATATCTCCGTGTCCTTCATTGTTAGGGATGCTGAGGAATATACCAATCATTATCATGTTAAGTCTAATGATGTCCTTGGACTCTAAATGGGCATTCCCTATTGGCCATTATTTATTTCACTCGTTAAATATTGTCCAGATGTTGTTTTCTATTTTTACGGTACGATGTGGTCTGTTTGGTTGGTATATAAACAGAGTATGTTTGAAATATAACGATTCATAACTCAGAGGATGTGACTTGCGTTCTCAGTCAGTCAGTAACAACGCAGAACTCCGTACGTACGTACATCAGTTCGAGTTGCCACACCACATTAGCACAGAGATGCAGTTGTCGATTCAAATACCGTAGTGGTAGAGGTAGTAAGAGTATAAGCAGTAATCGGGAAGATTAGGGTTTGGAGATGTTATTTAAAGAGTATAATCCAGTGAAATAAATTTGGAAAGGGGAAAAAAAGGACATGAAGAATTCAGAAGATTAGAATTTGGGAGAACACAAAGAGTGGATGCACCTGCGCCATTGCAAACGATTTTGAGCCACGTCATTCAGGGTCCCTAACCATCGGTTGCTATCATCTCGTGGTCCTCAACCAGGTAGTCTACACCTACCAACATAACTCAGTCCACTTGTCAGTGACTTCATGGACTTGTCTCATGTTTTGGTTTGGCCGCCCCTACCTTTCTTCCAACCTACTCCTATACCACTGAACATAGCACGTCGAGGCAGTCGGTCGTTGGGCATACGTAACGCGTGTCCCAGCCATCTCAACTGATGAAGTTTCACTACTTCATCAATTGATTTGCCATCCTTACCTAGTACCCATTTCCTAACAACTGCGTTACTCACTCGACGGTCCCAGGATATACGAGCAATGTTTCGAAGACACCTATAATCGAATACTAGTAACCTATGAATATCCTCTACTCTTACCGACTTGCGTTCTAGACTCAACTAGCTGGGCTAGACAGGGAAGCGGGGCCAATCGAGACTCTAGGTCGTCCTTACGTGTCACTGATTCGATCGATAAATACGCTGCTTATCAAAACCTGCAATCCACACGTTACAACATTCACTTTTCTAAATTTTCGCATGTTATGGTGTTATAAGGTTTAACAATGTGAGCTGATGTATACTTGTACCATGTTCTATTTCGATAGTGGTTGGTTAATTTAAATCTCTACTTTAATGTCACTATTTTCAACACAGGATTGACTAAATAGTGGAGAGGTGTAGTAATGGTTAAGGCTTTCGACTTTCAGCTACTAAGTCCAAAGTTAAAATCTCACTTTACCTGCTTTCATTTGGGAAATTTGATAGTATTACTAGCCTTCACACATCGAGTATAGCTTAAAGCTAAGTGCTTGGAGGATGAGTCGAAATTCGCCTGAAAATAAGCATCGCTTAAATTGTAAACATATAATTAACGTTTATTTCCTCCGAATTCCAGAAGTAATTCACTAACTAAAGTCAGCAGAGAAATACTTTCGATCGATAATATTTTAGAGAACCGATTTCACTTATCTTGTATTATAAATACTCATTTGAATTAGTATTATTTATGTTACTTTGTAGAATCATCACAACTAGCATAGTACAGAACCCCAGTTATTAATTTATTGAAGAAAACTAGTTATAACACTGAAAAGATAAGACAATAGTCGTGAGAAGCAACAAAACACATTGATTTACATCCATGACAAATTACGATGGGAAGCATATGCTCATAAAAGACAATAAACCAATTCCACTAAAAATAGAAAATGTATAAATCTGCTAAATAGTAATTTATTTATACAAACTTTGATTAAACAATACAAACCATAATTACTAATTGTAGAATTGAAAATGTCCAACAGTAAATCAAAATTTAAGGCACATACATGACAGAGTGAGAGACAGAGCATAAGTTTGATAAGAAATGAACCTACGACTGAGTTCACAAGTCATACGTAATTTTTTTTAGAAATTAAGCTCGGTGGTTTTATCAAATAAAACAAAATACGGGTAGGGTAATAAAAGATTTTGACTGTGGAGAAGAAGGAGAGCATGATTAAGAGTATGGAATAAAAATCACCTACTGCTCTTTTATGTATACACAAAACAACCTGGTGAAAGAAAACTGTGTACTATAGATATACAGAATAACAAATGATCGGCCACTCAATATATATATATATATATATATATATATATATATATATAATACATAGAACGGGACTATGGCAGGATCGACAAGGACATTGGACAATTAATATTCAGTTTGAATGGCGGGGATTTTAAAATAAATCTTCAAGATTCACTGAGGCAGGTCCAGCACGTTTTGTGTATCGTCTATAACGTTTTAAATCAGTATCTTCAGCTGCTCGAATTCGATTTGCTTCTTGTTGATCTGCAAGAAACTTCTGAAATGGATATAAAAAATTATTTTTTTAAGATTTAAATATGTATCTATGTAAAACTGCGGGTGAGGAAAGTCAGCTCCTCCTCTAACAATGCTCTAGCATGACCACGCATATACAACCACTACCAGGGAAGACTTACTTACTGCCTTCTCATGGACAGCGTGTAGTTTACACTATTGAAAGAACGAGAAGCGGATGTTCCAAGCTTAAGGCGAGTTGTTGGGGACAGAGAATCCACCTAGGGGAGTTGCAAAACTCTGATTCGAAACAAATGGTGCACATGAGCCCCATAATCTTGAAGGGAAAATGGCGTATGAGCTTATTGTTAGTCGCCTGCTTCCATGGGACTGCATCTCCTAAACGTTGCTTCACTGATTTAAGGATTAGACCTCTAGGTCAAAGGCTCGGGGAGTGGGCTTCCTAAGAAAACCACTTGTTTTGGTTCGGGAACTCGGACAGTACACAAAAATTGAATGTCAACAACTTCGTGTAGTACATATACATTTTGGTGGCACTTTGTACCAATGTTTATGTGTTTAAATAAAACATGTGATTAGTAATAGAATTTAGCATTAGACGGTTTTTATTCATTCTAAGACTGAACATTATGCGTGTCAACCATGAAATAGTTTTAAAAATAATGAATGATCAACGAATGAAACATGTCAAGAAGTAAGTAGGATCAGTCACATCGATAAACTCTTCTAAGGAGAACCTAGTTCACTACAAAGAGACTTATCCTAGAACTTAAAACAAGTAGAAAAACACAGCTGTTAACACAAGTAGCCAACTGACCTACTATGCTCATATTAATGAAAAACCGAACGCACACTTTCCGCTGGCTTTTAACACAGAAGTCCATCTTGGTTTTTGACAATGACAAAAAACATTTGACTCAAATAATTTGACAGGTCAGAATTAAATATTTCTTATCTGTTGATTAACAAGTGCGAGTTTATCAGGAAGCTAGGGTGACGAAAAGAGCCTGTCCAAAAAACATTATCCTTGTATAAAAGATAGTAATCTTCGTGTGCACGTCTAATTTAGTATTTCTGCGCATCATGACTACTTTCGCGAACACTGCAAAAGCGATATAAAATGTCTATTGAATTTCAATTCCCATTAGTTGCTTCCGAAAAACCTTCACCAACAGCTATTATTCACTTGGATTACTAACCACAGTGCATCTCTTGTTTGACAAGGAAATTAGGAACCATTCAATAGATACTCCGATTAATTAGCTCAATCGGAACAGTGATCAGTGGCCATTGGATTAAAAAATATGGAGCTAGACAATAATCCAGGAAAATAAATGCTTCCACATGGATAGAAAACTTGAGACTAGGGTAAGGGCTTAACACACTGAATGCCTACAACGATATAAATCATTTACCAAATATAGATCTATACACTCGCTTTTTAGTCACATGTCTTGTGTGGAACAACTAATAATACAGTCTGTCTATAAAAAACAAAACACGAGAATAGTGGGGTACAGGTGTGTGATCTAAGGGCTGCCAAACCAAGATATGACATCAGTCCATGAAGTTAGTGACTACTAGACTGGAATGTGTTGGTAGGTGAAGACTACCATATTGATGCCTGCGAAATTATTACAATGAGTGATTAGAGGACTTTAGATGACACGGTTTAGAATTGATCGCGATGGCACAAATGTATTCATTTTCTGTCCCATATTAGATCACGAGATTTGGAATTGCCGTTTTCGTTTTCCATTCCGGCAATTCATTCTTTCTGTTCGAATTCCCACTCATAATGATACTACTTCTACTACTCTAGTATCTGTCTTGATATGTGGTGTATTGACTCGAATAGATATACCGATGTTTGACTCATTATGAACTGCTAGTTTGAAGCTGACTGTTTCGACCACTAAGCTATCGGTTCACTGATTTTGATGACGAACATACAATGTACACTCGTCCAACACACTGTACACCAAAAATTCTCATTCGACTTATTTAGGTAACAAATCAATAGCACATTGAATTAGGAAAAACTACAAACCTGATAATTCTCATTAATCCAAAGTTTTTGTGATAAATACTTTGCTTGTTGTTCTTCGCCTGCATAATCCCATTCACTCTCATTTATTTTTAACCGACGTCTAGTGATAAATATCCGTGCCTCTTCGTCATATTCCCTACGAAGTATCCAATACTTTACAACCCAATAAAGCATCCAACGTAACCATATATAACAAGTCCAAGGGAAAAACAATATTCTAACCAGTAGAACACGTTTTAGGCTGGGTCGACAACAATCACCTCTGAAATGAAATACAAAAGAAAAAAAGAAAAGAAACTCTCCTTTGAGTGACCAATTTAACGGGGAAAAATGTGCTCACCAATAAAAATATAGTGTTAGGTTTGTTTTATCACTCTACTTCCTTCTGTGCATCGGTCTATACTACTTATTAATATTCAGTAACCCGTTCCATTTCTGATAACTTTTGAGCATATGATGCGACGTATATGTCATCATAACATTCGTGAGTATGGACACACGTTGACAATATTCGCTTAATTATTTTAATTGTATCCTCTTAATACTTGCAACAGATATTTTCGAATTTTGCTTTATGATAATAGTTTCTATATTTTGATTCTCTTTATTCTCATTTTGACATCATCTGCCATTATGATCTCGACACAACTATTAGCTGTCACATAACGTATGTTGTTATGACTTCACATATCCATTTTAATAAGCATTTTTATGATCGTCTACGAGCTTAGTAAATACTGTAGAGATCTTATATAGTTCCGTAATTATAGTGCCATCTTTACAGACAGTCTTGAGTTTTGGTTTGTCAAATTTGACAAGTCACTTAATCGTGCTGTTGAAGCTTCGATGAGGAAATAACATTGAAAATTAAATGAAAAATGAAACGAATAACTGACTAGAACATCAGAAGATCTGGAATAGAAAACTAATAGGTTTCAATTCGTTGGATCATTTCATCAAAACGGTAAGAAAGCTAACTATCAGAATAATGATTAAAACTAATCATCTTAACAACCACTGAGCGACAGATTCACACTTTAAAATATACAGTATGTTTCTCCTGTACCATCAAATCTGATGTTGGATAAAACAAGAGTCGAACTAAAGGGGCTCCTAATCAGATCACTGCAAAATAAAATTCTAATTTATTAAAATACGAGAAGGCAGTGAGTAGAACGTCCCTGGCAGAGGCTGTACACGCGTGGCCATGTGAGAGAATTTGGAGAGGAAGAGCTAACTCTTCATACTCTCGGTCGTACCACGGCATTTGAACGTTATGAATGAAAAACATTGTACCTCAAATCTGTGTAGATGTAAAAATAGAACATTTTATACTTAACCATATTCTATCTTTTTACTAACTTTTATGTACGATGCAATTTGCTGTGACATAAAATGTGAGCCCTGAAAAGAGAAAACATGAGTGGGCTTAAAGTAACTGGTCATAGGTATTTTTGAGATATTATTCGTAAGTGAGCATTACTAAGGTTACACGTAGGGGATATTAGGCAAAAGGACAGAGTCGATTGAAGAAGCTAAAAACTTTCGCTGACTAAAGTAGTTAGGTAATATTTGTTACATAAGCCCATCCACTTACTACTTTGACGTGTCATGTTACTATTAATAGACAGTTGAGGAAATATTAGAATTGGACACATGAGGCAATCCATGAGAACTTTAACTATTGAATTGAGCCATGTAGACATCCTTGTTGTCATTACCTATGATTAGATATATTGGGTGACATGAAGACAACATGAAGATGTGGTAGTATTTATTAATCTTTAGATTATGTATTATTTCATTTTCCACTCTTTTTATTACTTCATCTTATGCTTCTTTAAGATGGTATATTTCTTATATTTGGATATTTTTATTGCTGTTGAGGACATTAGTCCTTTGCGTGGATGAAGTGACGTGTGGCCATCTGGACTGCATTAAGGTCTTAAATTGACTACGGCTAATTGATAATCTTTCTAGAAGATAATATCTATTACGGCGATAATAATTGAATGAACTTAAATTCATGTTATTTGGTCACGTTTCATAAGATTAATAATCAATGATCATTATTACTTTATATATATATAAATTGAGTATTGATAAATCTATTAATTGAACGCTAAATCCGATTTCCTAATAATTTTAAATAACCTCAGGTTGAATCGATAATGCAACTTGAGTACAAGAGAAAAAGTTCAAAGTGTAAAATCAAAACAAAAAAAAAATTGGTGATAAGGATCGATTGGACAAGTGCATCTCTGTGCTAATGTGGTGTGGCAACTCGAACTGATGTACGTACGTACGAAGTTCTACGTTGTTACTGACTGACTGAGGAATACACCATCGTTACAGTTAGATTAACGGTCAGATTTTTCTAAATAGAACTGAGTTATATTTAATTCTTTTTAAGATGTGAACGAATAGTACACACGATTTAAAAAAAAAGTCAATTTCATATGATATTTGCATTCCAAACGATTAAGCAATTACTCGCCATATCTCCATACAAAACAATATGAATTTTATGCATTTGTTTAAATGTGTAAAGAGAATTTTATTTATGATCACTAACTAGTAAGCTTTTATCAGTTAATTGTCATCTTAATACATTTAAACCACATTCAACTCAGAGAGAGCAAACAGGCTACCTACTTTTATCAAGAGAACACGATTAGTATAATGGAAATACTTATTATTATAACCAATTGTACCAGTGATTGTTTTACTGTACTTGTTTGTTTAACTGTACTAAAAACATACTTTCTTTCGTTGACTATGACCTTAAACGCTCTCGGTTATGTTCAGTAGTTCAACTTGTACTGTTTGGTATGATCTCGGTATTCTTTCAATACCACGAGATTATCAACAAATATATCTTATTACAACCGTCAACCGCCTTATAGTTTTTCACCTACGAAGTAGTTTCAGTGCAGTGGGTGATCATAGTCAACGGTGACTCGACGCCACGCTACAACCCTACACATTTAAACCACATTCAATTCAAAGGGAGCAAACAAGCTACAAACCTTCATTTCACAATAAAATCTCACTGATATGAGGTTTAACAAGTGTTAAAATACAGCTCTCTCTCTCTCTCTCAAAGATTAAAATGTTCTTTCTTCAGTCCGTGATAAGCTTTAATTTCTCTGCTAACTAATGAGTTATCTGATAAAAAACTGAAATTAATTATTAAAAATATAAACCATAGAAGGATATTTGGTTTATGGATTTTTGGATATTTGCAGATAATAGGTGGAAAATTTTTAATCTGAGGCATTGATAAGTTGAGCTGCCAATATCAGTCTACTTGCTCCTCAAAATATCCTATAAGTGTTCAGATCACTAATTTTCAAACACTAAAATATAATAGCATCTTTATCTTGAGATTCTGAACATTAAATCTTCAAAATTTAATTATCTATTGTCAACATAGTCACCATTTTCATCAAGCCAATGTCATTATCTTCTATCGAATTTATTTGTGTCAAGTGTATCATTATTATGAAGTTTACTTTATGCAAATCGCGTACGTCAGCCAAGAATGTTGATCATTGAGATTGAAACATATGGAAATGATTTGTTAATTTGTGGGGTTACACTTAAACCAACTATTGTTATCAGAAACTGTAATTTTCAATCAAGTGAATGGTAAAAGTCCTTCATTAGCTTCGCCAGATAGATTCGGTTAAAAATAATAGAAAAACACGGATCCAGATATAGACAGCTTCATTTCGTATCAAGCCTGTTTGGTGTAATATTACAACAGATTACAAATATATTTCTCAGATGCTAAAGGAAAATATTTATAAACTTTCTTGTTTATCGCGGACGTCGAAAATGTACTTCCATGGGTTGTGATACAGGGTTGTATTATTGCTGTCGCCAAATGTCGTGGTACGGCCAAGGGTGGGGAGTCCGCTCTCCCTCTCAAAATACTCTCACTTGACCACTTGTATACAACCACTACCACCAAGTGCATGATGGGAATAAAAAACACGAAAAAAGATAGGAATTTGTGCAAAATATGAATACAAACATACATATATTGAAACCCATTAAAAGTGATACGTATTACGCATGGAAAGAAGAAAATACCTGCAAAACAACCGTTACGAATCCAAGAAACAAGAAAAAAAGAAAAAGCGAAGCACCCAAAAGTGCATTAGATACAATGAAAACTAACCACTTTCAATTTATTTACCGAAGTTCAACAGTCTCCTTTAATATATCCCGAAGTAGTTGTTCCTCACGTTCTTTCAGTTCATCACGTGTTAAACGTCTGCCAACTTCATATTTGGATATATTTAAACGACCATCAGCAATAGCTATCTGTTTTGCTTTGGCACGATGCTTTGGATCTTTCAGTAAATAAGTTAATGCATGATTATAACTTGTCCATTGACCAGCATACTAAAAGAAATATAAACAGCAAAGTTGTAAGCATTTTTTCTCAGAAAAAAGAGGAATGATCAGTGAACGAACTGATATGACAGAGTAAGAATTAACCATGATAGTTAGACATTCATTACAATAGACAGTAAATGATCCATCATTACTATAACCTCTAATCATTTATTTATTAATTGTTAACCGTGTTTACTCCTATTATGTTGTGAGGTGGTCCGAGTCTGATACTTACATATACGCTTCACATATGTATTCCAAAACCAGTTAATGAATGAGAAAATCAAGAGTGAGTAGAGAGCTTTTATTCGTTAACTGAATCGATAATGTTATGCACAAGTCACTCATAAATTTTAGTAGTTGAATTCGTGAGCCGATCTAATCTAGATAATCACTACAAACCTGGAAGCACTAAACGGCTGTTTCTTCCTAGTATGGGGCTCCTCAGCTGTGCAAATCTACGACCCCACATGCGAGACGCGAACCCAGGACCTTCAGTCTCCACCTCAAACAATGGATGAAGGGTTGCTCAAGATCATGAATCGATTGGAGTTAGACATTAACACTGTTGGATGCCGGTTCAATGGTCTGGAAGTTAGGCGTTCGCGTGTGAGGCCGAAGGTCCTGGTTTCGAGTCTCGCGTGCTGGGTCATGGGTGCGCGCCGATGAGTAGTCTTATACTACGACGAGACGGTTGTCCAGTGCTTCCAAGTTTCCAATGCTGGTCTAGCTTAGATCGACTCATAATTTTTATAATTTAAATTACTACAGTCTCCACAAGTCCCCATTTTGATCATTCATAAATATAGAAACATTTTACTCAAAAAATTAAACCACGTTTCAATCAATAGTGCATGCCTGTTTCCTCAGAAATTGACCAGTAGCGTTTCTAGCATTATTTGGTCTATCTGATTGGACCAGATTATCACCTTTATCTGTTGAAAAATAAATCTGTTTTGAATTCAATTATTGTGTTAAATACTTTGCATATAAGCATGTTAGTTTCTTAGAACAGAAAATATATTCTTTTAGTCAGCAGTTCCGCCTTTTGATTTGAAAACATGGGAGACTTATGTCAGATTTATTGAACATTATAACAGATTTACTACGGTGGAAATTCTTGGAAGAGCCCCAAAATATCCTTCGTCAAAATCTCTAAAGACCCAGAAACACGAAGAAACGTTTGAGTCAGTCGCCGTTGAGCAGGAGCTTCGCAGAAACGTCTAGAAAATGTAGAATCACGTGTTGTGGTTTTGATTGAATATTTACCTATACTGCTACTATATTTAGTACGGTCCTATGAATTTAAAGAAGCCCAGGGTCATGTATAACTCTATAAAGACCCTCATTTTTTCCATATATGAACTAACTTTAAGTAAAGCTTTTGCTCGCAGCCCGTTCATCCTCTCTATTGTTCGAGGTGTCGTGTACGAGTAGTTTGGGTTATCAAAACCGGCTAGGAAGACAGTCTAGGCAAATCAGTAGCATGATTTATCAGAAATTAAGACGGTTATATATATATATATATATATATATATATATATATATATATATATATATTGCCAACCAATTAGAAAAGTCATGCACAACCAACAGGTCAAGAGAGGAAGAAAGGGAAACAAAATAAATATGCTGAATGTACACGGATACTGATGATGTTCACACTTAGATGTGAACCCAATAACCATTGGTTTTAAAAGATACAACTGTGAGTCATAATAATAAAGATACAGTTACAAGAAATATTACGTAATTAAGATGATGTTTATTTGTAAAAGAGGTGGTTTCTAGGGCTGTTATAGGTATAAAGGGGGTTATAACTTCTCGAGCGCTTACACTGTAGAATAATACTTTCTGAGGGACTTAATAAAAAAACTAAGTTAGAGGCAGTCTTGACGACCTGAGAGTATTTAATGGCCCAAGATCTGACTCCAGTTCGGTCATGTGATTACCGTTATTGAAATAAACATGTCGACAATTCTCGTATATAGTCAACGACCCAAAAATCGTGCTAGCGGATAACGGAATTAAATAAGTCCAACACGAGAATGGATTTTGAATACGCATATTCTGTACAGTCGTCGGTCGGAAAGAGAAGCAAAACAATTACCAACTGCTTGAGGCCGGTCGCGCACACACTTTTTGTTAGTACTTTTAATTGTTACCTCTGTATTTTTTAAGAATTTACGGCCATTTTTAGGATCAACCTTCTCTAGCTAGCTCCTTTAGTTGTGGAAAGACAGTATCACCCCAGATGATGATTGTTTAGAGGGACCACTGAACTGTTGTCACCCCTCCGTACAGTCAGTAGTATATTGACATTCCAGTCAATATAGCTCAATTAATTCACCACGATATCCAAGCCCCACCACTATACATCGAGGTAATAGCTGGAGGTGGGTAGCAAACATGCAAATCCCTTACAAATAATTATAATAATCACATCTCAAACACATTTCTAATACAACAGTAATAATAAAACTTACTTGTATCGATGATATAATAAGAAGAATTGATATAATTACCAATCGAACATCAACTTTTGTCGAAACACGACGTCGATAATACCGATAGTAATGATAGTACATTTGATCTGGATTATCAAGCATATAATCGTATTCTGTTCGTTGTTCTGGATCACTAAGAATCTGAAATAATAGGGGAAAAATGATTTTTTTAATAAACAAGTGAAAAATATTCATTATATTCCGTAAGTTACTTATGGTTTAAGTTGAAATAATATGAATGTAAATCATATTAACTTAATGATGCTTTGAATATTTCACTATTGTGAGTACAGTTGAGATGAGGTTTTGGGTATTTCATGAAGATGGTTAATTAGTTGGTGATAATATAAACCTTTTGTTGATTAAAGCCCGTTTAATATGTCGTATACATCACATGATTCCAAGAAGTCAGAAACTTGTGAGTGGAAACAACCGTATTCTATGAGAAAAAGACTTTAGGTATCATGCGTCGAAATCGGTTGCAGTGAATCAGATGTACTCATGAAGGTATAAATGTAAACATTTTGATATTCCAAAATGATGGAAGAATCGTGAGACAGACTTTTGAAGAGCATAAACTACGATATCATCATACAGTGTTTAAGTTTGTTCTTGCCACATATTTTTATTAGTTAGGGAACCATGGGAAAACAGAAACTAACAGAACGTTGTTTTGTTTTGGTTTAACTCTCTTCGGGAGTGGACATCCATAACGTAGGCCAAAGATGCAGTAGCAAACATGTTGACTTTAGACCAGGAAGTTGGAATTCAATGGGCCATATTCCCAAATCCAACTAATCGGTGTTACACAACGCGACATCGTCAAGTATCACTCGCTTCTAAATGTTTCACTCTTAACATGGTTGGAGTTCAAAGATCCTTTAAACAATTCAGTGCTTCTTTAGATTAGCAAAGTTTAAATATAATTTTTTAAATTACTTATTAAACATACCTCATAGGCAGTGTTGATTAAACGGAAGCGTTCTTCCGCTTTTATTTTATTCTCAGATGTTTTCTGTCTATCTGGATGATGTTTTCTTGCCATTTCATGATATGCTTTACGAATTCTATTTTTATCATCATCTCGGGTAACCTGTAAAACTGACATTTTTCCCCAAAAAAAACAGACGAAATTAAATCTCAGATGCGCCAATATAATATGGATATCAAAAGCTGAGATAATTTTAAGTCTGACAAGCTGATAAGCGTTATCTGATACCTTAATACAATTTAGCAATATAGTATAGACTTGAATACTAGACATTGACCTACACCTCTTAGTGAGAAAGCTAGTGATATTAACCAACCAGTCAGATGGTGCGGGATTCGAACACGTAACTCAATGGTTGTACGTTACATGTCTTAAATACTGAGCAACCATTATTTTTAAAAAGGTTAATTTTGATTGAATATACCAATACCTAACACTGTGAAATCCGGAAAAAGATTAATACCGTGGAATAAATGTAAACACTGTTTATTACATTTTTGAAAAGTGTAGAAAAAGTCCGAACCCAGCACCTATCACTTTAGATCCTAGCACAAGTTATTTACTGAGCTAATAAGTCTGACGAGCTACTAACCTGTTCAATAAGTATGAAGTTTATTTGTAAGGATTTGGTATTTTCCCACTGCTGATATTGAAAACTATGAAAAAATTATATATGCAAACCTTTGCCTATTAACTTATTCCTATCTGATATACTATCACTGCTTACATAACTGACATACGAAAACTCTATAACCACATTTTTGATAACATTGATACGAAATCAATAACTCAAGAAGAAAACATTTACATTGATTGATCATTGAGTGGTTGTGTGTACTTCATTATACTAAACAACGGATGGCAATGAGGTTAAAAACAATTGTCTGCTAAATCTACTAAACTAATTATCAATCATAAGAAATGATTTTAGAATATTGTAGTGAACGAGAACACAAGTGGGGACAATCAAATGTATTTGCATACAAAACTACAGAACATATTAGTAAAATCTGAGAAATAAACAGTAAATACTTCAGTTGCAAAATGTCAATCGTTTCAGACTTCGTTGTTCTTTAGGTTCCACACAAATCATTCTTTGTTCTCGTTCTTTTTTCTGTGATCTTCTTAGCCTTCTGCCTGAATGCATTTAACTTTCGATCGATGATACATACTACTTATATCTGTCGGTATCAGTAGCACACACCACAATATATGTAGTTTCAAAATAGGACATATTGGTTTCAATGTTACAAAATTTGATGAAATATTAAGTCTCTGATTGAGTTCACTGAAATACTGATCTCTAATGAAATAATACCACTGACCCATTCAGGCTATTACTGATTTATTTTATTTATTTATTTGAACACATAAATATTGGTACAAGAGGGCACCAAATATATATGCGCCACACAAAACAATGAATGGGGAGAGAAAAAAAGAACAATGAAGACCAGATTAGTGTAAGGCAGTGTAATAATAATAGTGGGGGAAACGAAAAGGTACAATCAGAAGAAATCCTTCAGTTACGGAAGATACAACCACTTTTTATGAAGAAAGTAAAAGAAGGTTACAGCAGGATCGCCACTGGCTTCTACTCTGAGCCATATCTGATAACGTCTCTAGCCACTGTGTTCCACTATCTCTCAGACCCCAGCCAGGGAATCGTGAAGGAACAACACAAGCCAGCACTTTGCAGCTTTCTTTCATACCACGACACCATGTCATGCACTGACCACCTCTCCGCTTCTTCCAATCAGTCCCAGAGTCGGCAAATAATGCACGATGCGGAGTTCTCTGGGACGACATTCGTAGAACATGTCCAAGCCACCGAAGTCGATGTTTCAAGATAGTGACACTACAGTGACATTATCGTCTCTGCGCCCGAACACACGATGCCGAACCTTTGCGTTACTGACATGGTGTTGCCACTGGATGTCAGCAATCCTTCGGAGACAGCAATGATCGAACACAGAGTCGTCTAACATCCTCAATTCGGAGAGGACAGGTTTCACAAGCATAGAGCAGAACTACTCTCACCGACGCGTTGTAGATCGGACATCTAACAGCCAAACTGACATCACGAAGGCACCAAAGGTGGCCCAGATTGGCATAAGCCGCTGTGGCTTTCACTATGCGTGCATTGATCTCATCACTCACACCCCCACCAGCACTTATGCAGCTACCCAGATACACGAAATTCTCGACTACGTCTATCTGCTCACCATCCAGGGTGAGTACAGGATTAGAATCCTGCCAGACTTGTAGAAGTACTTTGCACTTCGAAGGTGCAAAGCACATACCATACCTACGGACACTGATTGCCAACTGATTAAGTGCGGATTGCATGCCTTGGGCATTATCGCACAGTAAGACAATATCGTCCGCATACTCAAGGTCGAGAAGTCTTCCTTCAGGCAACAGATCCACACCACCATTACTTACATTCATCAGAGCTGTTTCCAGAATGTCATCGATGGCAAAGTTGAAGAGGAATGGTGAGATTGGGCAACCCTGCCTAACCCCACTGCTCGAATGGAACAATGGAGAGAGGTGGTTGTATGCCCTCACTCTGCCTAAGGTGTTTTTATATAGGGCCTTTAGGATGTTAATAAACTTCTCAGGTACACCTTTCTTCAATACACAATCCCAGAGAACGGTTCTGTTCAACGAATCGAAGGCAGCCCTGATGTCAAGAAACACTACGATTGTTGGCCTGTGATAGGTATGACGATGTTCTAACATTTGGCGGAGGGTGAAGATATGATCAATACATCCTCGACCGGAATGAAACCCAGCCTGCTTCTCGCGAGTCAATCTTTCTCGGGTTTTGAACAACCTACGAAGTATGACGGAAGCCAACAGCTTGGACGCAATCGGAAGTAGACTTATCCCCCGATAGTTGTTACAGGAACGACGTGAACCCTTTTTAAAAACAGGGTTGACTATCGACTCATTCCATGACGTTGGTACACTCTCCAGCTCCCAAACCTTTGAAAAGAAAACAGTCAGTTCCTTAGTCAGAAAGTCACTACCATCTTTAAAAAGAGCCGGCGGTAAGTCATCTGGGCCCGGTGATTTGTAGCGCTTCAAGAGTTGGAGTGTCTTGCTGACTCCCGCCTCATTTGGTGGATCAGTCGTCACCGGCCATGGAGGGCAGGATAGTCTGATCGACGTTGCCGAAGCAGCAGGTAAGTTGAACTGCCCTTCGAAAAATTCTGCCCATCGTCCAAGACGTCGATGGATGTTAGTGATTGGCATCCCGTCATCCTCGCAGATTGTTTCCCTCACACGGCCTTATTCGCCATTTTGATGACGTCATGAAGTTGCAACCAATGCTGATCTATATTTTTCGGTGGAGCGGTAGCTAACCTAGAGGCTAGCTCGGTTCGATACTTACTTGCAACAGAAGTTGCAACCAGCTTGCTGACATCAATCCTTTGGTGGCGGTCACTTCGTTGGCCACTGAAAAGTAAGGTGAGATTGGCGCAGACCAGGGCATGATCAAAGTCCAGATAGGTACTCCAAAAGAAGCGGCAGTCTTGTACACAACCATGCCAGCGGTAACTGACCGTGATGTGATCAATCTGAGTCCAGGCTTGAGATGCAGAGGGAGGACGCCAGGTGGCACATCGACGATGACTGTGCCGAAAGTTAGTGCTAGCCAGAAACAGGTTGTGGTCTGTGCACAGTCGCAGTAGACGGTCCCCGTTATCTGACCTGCGACCAACAAGTCCCTATCGGCCACCTGAACGATTCTCTTCTGTGGCTAGACGCCCAACCTGAGCATTCAAGTCTCCGGTTAGCACTACAATATCTGTCGAACGCACTTTCTGGAGAAGAACAGATAACTGGTGGTAAAACTCATCCTTGATTGCATCCAGGCTGCAATCTGTCGGAGCATAGGCGGAGATGACGAAAAGACATCGTTTCTCACGCCGATTTCTTCTCACTTTGATGGAACTTTCTAATCTAACAGCACATAACCGACTGTTAATGGGGATCCAATCGATTAGTCCTGCCTCAGCCCTAGCGCTTAGTGCGACACCAACGCCAGCAAGACCAGACGAAGATGCCACACGGTCCTCGGATAAGCGCACGTAAAACAAGCTTTTCGAAGCGACAGATGGAGAATGAATTTGTAGTACTTCACCAGAGTCTTGAATACGGGTCTCGGACAGACAGCAAACATCGATATTAAGACTTTCTAAAGACATAGCAAGCCCTATCTGTTGTTCAACCTGCATAAGTGTGCGAACGTTGAAGGCAGCCAGTTTGAATGGTGCACGTGGTTCCAGAAAAACTGCTTCAGTATTCGCATTTGGTGGTAGCATACAATTTTCAACCACGCAGTGACCCGAGAACGTTTAGATAGAACCGAGTTTCCACCATAGGCGAGCTGCTGTATAAGTCGAAAAATAAGGATACATAAAGTGGGAACAAAAGAGAGTGAATAAATGACGTAGTAAATAATAATAACAATAATAATAATAATAACATGAATCGTCTGACTATTAATCGGAGCGAGAATAGAATTTCCAGTAAATATCGTCATTTTCACTTAATTTGTGTGTGGGCTGTGATACTGCCTGAGTGTCCAGACCGAAGCAGGTGGTTTTATTAGGGGGCCACACCCCGAGCCTTCGACGTGAAAGTCTGATCCACAAGGCAGTGGAGCATCGTAAGGAGATGCAGTCCAATGTTAGCCGGTGACCAATGATTGATTCGTACGCCATTTGTTCCCTCAGGATACTGGAGCCCATGTGCACCATTGGTTTGGGATCCGGTTAAAGCGCCCGACATTCGTTTTTCGTCCTCTCATTTTCGTAGACAACACCCACGTCATGAGAAGGTAGTGAGTAAGATTCCCCTGACAGAGTCTGTATACGCGTGGCGGTGTGAGAGCATTTCGAGAGGAAGGGCGGGCCCACCCTACTCTCGGCCATACCAGGCATTTGGGGACGGCTGTTACTGAAATCCCATAGGACAATGATATTAGATGATCGAGGTCCGAATTCATCATCATTCCCCCCAAAACAGGAAGTACGCCTATTACGCTTTACAAGAAACTGTCGTCTGTAATGACTAAGTCAAGGATGCATAGTTTATTTTTATTCATTTTCATAAATAGACCCTTAGAAATAATACTTCCTTCATCTAACTTGTTTGCTACATCGAGGCTCTCTGGTTAGCTCATAGTATGTAGATAGTGAACGCGCTAACAGAGTCTGGAGTCTTTTGTAGGTCATAAACAACAATAAAATATCATTTAAGATACATTTCTTCTCATCTAAATGTAGAATATGACTTCAAACCAAATCTATATCATTGTGTAGTTTAACAATAAGGAGTAAAATTAATATGTGTGATGACCACTTTACTCATTATGGAAGTCTTACCAATGATAGTCAGTTCGTGAATGACAAAATATCTGAGTGAACATAAAAGCCCACTAGGCCTATATTGACATTAAACCTCCTGTAGAACAGGTAGGATTTTCATCAACCTATCAGGATACAAGTAAACTATTCAGCATTTCACTCCGTATTAATATATATCTGAACAAGATCAACTTTAAAAGTTGAAGACATATGTGAGCTACAAGTATTGGGTTTCAGAAACATTTAAAGTATTTTCGATGCACAGTAAAATCACTGGGTAATCCTGAGGTTACGTGTACAGTACTTGATAATGATGGAAAATTCCTTAATGAAGCTATGGGCCCTCATTACATGAGATAATTGTGAAATACAAACCAGCGTGTAGTATACTCCAGTATATAATAGTAGCAAGTAAAGGAAGACGTTTGGTAATATGTAGGAGCAACTAAACTAATAAATATCATCAATAGACTTTTATTTAGAGAATCAGAAATCCAGATCCAACCCTACATACTTTAGCCCATAGTAATCCGATAGTATCACCAGCACTTAAACAAAAAGTGTGTCTCAAAGTTGAACATACAAACCAGTATACACAGCTAAATTTTGACAAATATTGATCAGTAAAGATTAATGGTGTAGAATGTACGCCTTACACACGTAATAAAGGGAAGTTATTAAAAAATCTCACTCCAATGTCTTATCTGTCGATCAAATTATTTTTAAATAAACGGAATACACCCATTGAAACATAAAATAAGACAGAAAAATTGTTTCAGCGAAGAGTTCACTTTTCGTTAAATTCATTTTCAAAGCTGTACAATCCCAAATATATGTAATATATACTTAGTTCTTTTTTCACGATGATAACAATTATAATAATAGTGATAATAAAATTCTGTTAAACATAGTTTTCCTTTTGTTACCAACCAATGTGATCTTTTTGTTTTTGAATAAACATATGAATTTTCGATACTCAACTACATTATCTCTTGCTCTCTTCAATCAATTTATGCCAATGATTTATATTTCAACTAAGAGCTAGACATGAATTATATACAATGCAAAACATCTAATTAATTTTAATGAAATATAAAAGAATATAACACATTCAATACAATCAATATGGGGGTGAGAGAGAGAGAGAGAGGAGAGGTTATGATCAATTAAAAATTATCAATAAGTTGTTCAAAATTAATTTTTGTTTACAAAATAATTAATAAGAAGACTAGGAATAGTGACAACATTTTACATTCCTAACTGTTATAATTAAAAACCAAGTTAATTAATTTTTTTTTTGAGGAAAAAAAACAAAATTGTAAAACATAAAAATTAAGTGTACAAAAGTTAGAACAAGGTGTGACTGTTGTCATTTATTATTATTATTATTATTCAACTGATTCAAGAAATAAAGATTAGTAATCTTAGCTTTTAACTACAAGGATAGGGATACTTAGTTACAACGTAGGACCAGGCAAATACATGCGTCGGTCAAAGTTGTCACACCTCATTAACACAGCAAGACGAACACCGGATTCATAGAAGTAGTTAATTCAATGGTGTAATATATAAAGGAAAGATTTAATGTACGGATATAGTACAGATATAAAGAATTAGTTCGTAGAAACAAAGATATGAAATGGTTTTAGTCTCATAGTTAAAGGGAAGACAAAGAGTGTATACACCGACGCTATTGTGATCGATTCTGAGCCATTTCACCCAGAGTCTCAAACCATTGGTTACGATAGTCGCGCGGATCTCAACCAAGTAGTCTGCATCTACCAACATGGCTAAGACTAGAAGTTAGCGACTTCAAGGACTGATGCCACGTTTTGGTTTGACCACCCCTAACATAGTGATACTATTTAGTTGCCTAAACTTAAACAGAAGAGACAGAACTCGAACTTACGATATAGTAGTTGAAAGTTGAGCGTTTTAAACATTGCAACACAGCTCCATGGCTATTATTACCATTGACATATTGAGAAAAAAAACAAATAATGATACAATATTCCTAAACTTGAATGACTAATTAAGTAACTCGGAAATATTTATTCAACATTATCGATTAATATAACTTATTTATCGAGTACAGGTTTATATATGGAAGACCATGAACACTAGTGATATTAATTGGTTATTTAAACTTGATGTGAACAGAGAAACAAGAAACTTTGACCAACTGCGGAAGCTATTTTTGAGGACGTCATTACATTTACTTCAAAACTCGTAAAACAGTAACATTTATTTTTGTTCCTAGTTTATTTTACAGACTATAAGCTTTCGTTTGATGTACAATTCACAGCCACAGCCTTTTCTGTTTCAAAGCTATTGTAATTTAAACGTAATCTTCCGTACTCTATTTTCTATCATAATCCCCAGTTTTGGACGTAATTGTATTTTCCTAATTGTTTGTGCGTTGTGGTCTGCTTAGTCATTTATTTATTCATGTATCTTTTTACACTAATCTGAATCAGGAACCAGATCGAAATCTGGTTTTCTCTCGCGCGTGCTTGTCAGCCAATCAGGTGATCGAATAGTTTTCGCCTCTCTACGCCAAACAGTTAGTCTCATTTCAAACCCACACATACTAGCCTCAATGTTAAGCCAGTCAGCCTATCGCGTCAAAGTTTTAATCTAGATTTAGACAAGTCATCCTTTGCATAGTAGTGAGTAGACAGATCCAGGACGTAAAAAAACTAAATTAGTCGGGAGGAGATCAAACCTGTATCCCAATTTCTAGAAATAGGATGCCTTATAAACATCACTAAAACAGCTCTAAACTTGATAGTTCCAAATAAATTGATCATTAGGTAGACAGTTAATAATCCTCTGAAGAAGTGGCTTACATTAAGTCACGAAACGTCAGAAGTATAATTTTTCTACTCATTGGGATATAAAAAAAATATATTTATTATCACATCTAAACTATATTCCTTTCTGGGTCAATAAGCATACAGATGGGTTGTATTAGGAAACAAAATTACTGAATTAATCAATGAATTTTAGAATACTATCCTTTATGAATAAGCATTTGATAATTAACAGAAACGTATTTTCAGAAGGGGTTTGTGGAGATGTTAGGAATTTCACAGATTGAAATCATGAGTCAGTTGAAGCTAGACCACCATGGAAAACCTAAAAGCACTGGACGACCGTTTTGTCCTAGTATGGGACTCCTCAGCAGTGTGCATCCATGATCCCGCACCCCGCGGGATTCGAACACAAAACCTACTGGTTTCGCGCGCGAGCACTTAACTATTAGACCACTGAGCCGGCAGCCAACGGTGTTAATGTCTAACTTCAACCAATCCACGAAGTTGCGCCACCGTATACCATTGTCTTTAGTGAGCTGATATCTCACAACAGACCTGGTTGAACTCCATTGGTAACGGCTTCTCACTAGAACTCCAGGAGTATCTTTTGAAGTCAGTCACTAGTGAGCAGACGATTATTATCAGAAGGGGGTGCGGGATTGTGGATGCGCACTGCTGAGGAGTCCCATACTAAGACGAAACGGCCGTCCAGTGCTTCCAGGTTTTTCATGGTGGTCTAGCTTCAACTGACTGAATTTCAATCTGAGAAATGTATTTGCTTAACTAACCAGTGGGATGTATATTATGAAATTGAATTGTAGTGTTCAAAAAAGAATTATCACAATCTTTTTCACTAATTATTTTGGTCATTATAACATAGTTTACATATTAATTAAGTCATTTATTGAATAAATCAAGGTCATTAACAGATGACTGGTCATTTACTTTTTTCAAGTTGCACTTGTAACCTATTTAGCTTCACAGAACTATAAGTAACATTTATTTAAGCTAGTTGCGATTGAAAGGACTAAGCTCATGATTCCAAATAGAACTAGATAATACACAAACGATTAAGTCACATCTTACTGCATTTACTAATTTACATATTTGTGCGGAC